AGATCGGCACCAGGGGTAGCGGGGATGCGGGAAGTTGATTGCACATCGAAGCGTTCAACCATGCTGTCGATATACGCGGTTTGTGAGATTGCAAGAGTCCCAGCCTCTATATATATCTCCATGGCACAACCATTAAACCATTGACACTCTCCAAGTATTTTGGTGGGAAATTTCTTGTTGAGAGAAGCAAGCAACTCCTCGCAATCCTCGTCAGACCCAGCCACCAAAATGTCATCCACGTAAATCACGATAATCATCACCACGACTTCGTCTACCATCTTGCGGAAAACACACGGGTCCGCCTTGCACTGCTCGAACCCGTTCTCGACTAGCGTATCAGCAGCGTGGTACCCCCACTGCCTACCGCTCTGCTTCAGACCATAAATCGAACGCTCAGCCTTAGCAATCTTATGCGACTTGTCCCCGCACCCAGCGGGGAGCTTCAGAAAAACCTCCTCGTCTAGCGTAGCGTGTGTATACGCCTGCTTCACATCCCAGTGATTGAGGTTCATGCCCTTCTCGTTCGCTACCGCAAGCATCAGCTTAATGGATGCGGATGAGGGGCAAGGGGAAGACGAATGGAAATAATCGACGTTCGGGATTTGCGAAAACCCCCTAGCAACCAGACGCGCTTTGAACTTGTCTATCTTCCCTTCCTTGTTGGTGTTCCAACTAAACACCACTTTTTTGAGCTCACAGGCCTGCGCCCCTCTGGCGCACCGTCTACGAATGAAGACGTCCCCGTGCCCAAGTGCCCTTCAAACTCTTCCCTCATGGCCTGTTGCCACCCCTCTCTGTAAACAGACTTGGCAACGCCGGCTACAGTCGTGGGTGGGGCTTCTACATCACTCGGACGCATTCACTAAGCTCGTGGGACGTCAGAGCCGTCTCGAAGGCGTCTGGCGAGTTGAGCATGAGGTCCACCGTACCCAGCAGGAAGTCCTCCGCCTCTTGGCGCGCAGCGTGGGCCTCCTCCGCGCGCTCGGACAGCAACTNACGAGGGTTCTCCCTAGTGCGGCGGCTGGTGAGTTCTGTCGGCTTGTCGAAGCGGGCGAGCCGCTGGGCCTCTGGCCCACAGAGCGCCGGG